ACCCCCCCCCCCCCCCCGAGTTGCCATGAGGGACATAAATCATCTACTCACCCCTTCCTTCAAACAGACCGATCGTAACTCATTGATGCGAGCTTTCAGCAACTCTTCAAGTTCTGCTTTTTTGCCCCGAAGAATTTTATACAATTCGATATCGCGCTGACGATCTTCGCCAGTTTTTTCTGCAACAAAAAGCAATGTTAGCAAGACAGGAAAAAACGATTTGCTGACGACACTTGCCATTCAGACGGAAAAAACAAGGGTTGCCAATAATAAAGGCTTACGCTTCAATCCATTCTTTAATCCCTGCCGATGCTGTGAATACGAACCATCCGCGACTTTTGCCGACGGCATCGTATTCAGTGACGAAGACGAGTGCAATGAACTGAACTCGAACTCATAAAGTCGATGTCATTTCGAGAAAAACAACGTAAACTAAAGCATGAAGTAAAAATCATAATCAAGACGAACCTAAGAGACGGCAGACTCGATCCAATTGAGCTTCTACTTACTAGCCTATTCAACTTTTCACCAAGTTCTCGATGATCAACAGCTGACCCTTGCGTACGTCCACTCTGAAATGAAATGCCCATTAAAAGTGCACAATTCGGAAGTACATACATTCGGCTCAGAAACAGTTCGTGGCAGAAACGAGCCGCGATCAACTTGGAATATCGCGAAGTACACAGCACATTGCAAAAAGATTCTATTAACGTTTTTCTTTTTCAATCGCCTCCCACATTAACAAAATTAAATAAATAAATAAATTAATTAATTAATTAATTAACAAAATTTTGGAGAATCTACTAGCGGCCTTCATTTTGAATAACGTAGCTAATTTCCGCGATCCCCGCTACTTTTAAAGAAATGGCCTGGATGCACTCTGACATTTTCCATGAAATGCTACCTAGACGATTCAAATGTTTATAAGATTGAAAAAATATAAGATGCATGGCGCATAATACAAAGTTGTGCTGAACTATGCCAAATGTTTGCACAGTTAGCTGCCCGCTGTAGACTTCTCGAAGGTTCTATGAGCTATAGCTGGCCGAGAAACCAAAGCTCAAGAATTTTGTAGTCTTTTTGGCTGCCAGATGATGTCTCTGAGCCCCAAACCACTTAACCACGAATAAAAATGGCACTTTGGCACTCAGTAAAATGACTCTAGGCTGTAAGTATGTACAAAGGGCCCTTGTCGAGATTTTACCATTTTCTAACAGCGAAAGGTTCGAGAGTCACCAAAGGAAAACTAAGTTCGAAAAGAATCAAGAAAGAGAAAAACAGCTAGCTGAACGGCGGTTTAACAAAGGCAAAGGTCGAATCAGACACGACCATTATTCATAGCGACTCCACAACGCTCACATCCTCAACCTCCCTAACAGCTGTTTGCGTCTAATCCAGAAAAGTGATTGCCGACTGCCTCNTCGTATGCTACCTACCCAGTGATGAGGATTTGCGCGAAGAAGCCTTGTATGGGTCACGCAAACACTCATTACCGAACACTGCAGCACACCTTGATGATTGACATCATCGTTATCTGGCCGGTCATTTCGAATTAGCACAGGGGTCAATTGAGTTGAACGGTTGCCAGAGAGATGACGAGATGGAAGGGGTTTGGTCATCAAAGACGTCTTTTGCCTAGTTTTCTTTTCCTTCTAATGACTAGCATTTGTACTGACGTCGAAAAGCTGCTAATACAAGTGCGCTCATTGGAATGAGAAAAACAAGCCAAAATACGTTCTCCATCACTCAATGTCATTAGCACCATGTTCAACGAGAGACGATAAAAAAAGATATTACATTTGCAATTTTGAAAGGGATAAAGTGCAAATTCAAAGTGCACGGTTGTAAAAACCTCCCTTGAATTCCAAAAAACATACAAAAGCAAGGATAGAACTTTCAAGCTATTCAATGCCATATATAGAGTAGGCACAGATTGAAGTATATCTATCCTTGAAAGAACATCTACTACAGGAACACTATAATTTTAATGGCAGCATTCTACCCAACCTAAAAAGTCAAGCAGTAACCCAAAGAGCAAGTCAGCATGATTATCAAACATATAGATGTAAGGTCAGAATCCTGTGTTTTAGAACAGCACGCTTAGGAAGGAAATGTGGAGGGTGAAAGTCATTTAAAATGAAAAAAAAATTCGCCGCCGCCTTTTTCTCCTTTTTTCGAGCCAATGAGTCACACATTCTCACACCCCATGTTTTTATGCTCCCGACAAAAAGGGTAGCCCGCATAGGGTTTTGCATATGCGCATTCCTAATTTTTACGACTGATTTTCCCTTTTTGCAAAAGGGTACCGACAAAGGCTAGCCTTTTTTCACATGCCGTGATGGTCCAGTCTAACCTAAGGGAACAGGGGAACTGTAAGAAATTATGAATGGAAAAGTTTTCGGTTCAACAAAAAGAGGATCTAACTATCGCTAGGTTCAGGTTAGCCATGAAATGCTCTACAAAGTCAGCTTTGTGAGTAGAAATTGAGTTCGCCCACGAAAAGTTCGCACTTCGATTCAAAAAAAGAGTGGAACAGTGTTGAAAGCACCTGTTGTAACCCCAGCTCCAATAACACCGTAGTACGAGCGTGCGATATTAAATTACAACCGGAATCTTCTAGAAGAATACCTTCGACTACCAAGAACAGCAGGGGAACAGAAATAGTAAAATAGAGAGGGAGCTTTTTGGATTCGCCAGGACAGGATTTACGGAGAAAAGCTCATTACGGAAGATTTCCAGCCGTTCGTAGAAAATCTTTCATAATAAGCTTTTCTGTGGAATTATCGTCATCAGTGGCCACCGCGATATAGAAGTTCTTACAAGAAATCAAGCTGATGTAGAAAAATGTGTTAGAAAGCCATTAAAAGACTGTGATCATATTGCGAAGGGTGTGAAATGGGAATACGAAGGGACGAAGGGNGGGTGGTGGCATAGATGTGACGAGATGAGCGCAGCGGACAAAGATGGCTATCACATTTCGCGCTAATCTCAAAGGCTACCGCGACTTGTCACTTCCTTCTAGCCTTTCTCTGGCGCTCTTTACATCTACCACTCCCTATGCGGATAAGACAGCTTAAATCTGATCGCAAAGGTCATTCCGGTGACAGATGTGGAGATGGGACGATGTAGGTCGATTAATTGTATTCCTGTACAAAGATTTACGACCTTCACGAGGGGAACTCTATCCCTGACAGTCGCAGTATGTATACTTCAGTTGCGGGTCTCAGCGAACAAAGTCACTTTCGGGCACACTTGTCGAGACGTCGAGAGCAGCTAATCCGTGCAAACACTGCACGTACGCGCATCTGGCTGCCACTCTTGACGTTATTTCGGCAACCGCTGTCGTCACCGCAATGATAATAACGAGCGTTAATCCCACAAAGAATCATAAACCCAACGAGGCGGTCATTGTGAATGAGTCAACCGAACGAACGAAACATATGGCACGAACCATCACCATACATTCCGCCATTCAAAAACGATAATTGTTATGGCAGTGCGCGATCATATGGAAGAAACCTCGACAGCGATATACGCATGGATGACGATAACTGCGTAGTTATCATCGACCAGTGCACATTGATATACAGTCCAGAAGATGGAGAACTTTACTGGTATTCATATTGGAAAGGTTTATTCCTTTGCGGTACTTTACGATATCAACTGATGAAGCTCATAGCCTTCCGCATGGGTAGCCTGTAATTTGGAACTTATATAACCAGCTTATATAAATTAACCATTTGAATGAATCATTAGGATTAAAAATGACCAAAAAGGGAACTTGAAGTCAAGTGTAGCTCAGATTCATCTTGTGCTCTTGACCGTCGGAGTTCCCTCGTTCTTTCAAGACGAGTTTCTGGGACGAATCCGACAGAACTAGAGAGCATATGGTCTCTTATAGACTGAGCTGCAATATACATATATGCCAGGAATTATCTTTGAAGTTAGGAGCACTTCACGAACCTANGCTATATTTAATTCAGATTTCTTGCCTGAGACTAGGCCGAACAGAAGTTCTTGGAAATGCCTTCATCCAAAAAAAGAGCTAGAATTTGGAGAATAAAAACTAGTTTTGGGTTGGCGAGCTAGAGTTAAACCTGCTAAATTTTAGCTATCAAAGAAACACAAAAGAGCAAAAGCCTGAAACGTTCTGTGAAAAAGATTATTTGGAATCCCTTCAGAAAGCCTGGGCTCATTGAGTGACAGAAAATCAGATGGAAAAAACGGTAAAGACATCCCCAAACAGGAAATTCTTGTAAGTTGCTAGTTTGAGGAATGAAGACCAACCACGAATGGATTGTTCCCCTGAAAACTTACCTTACTGGGCAATTTCAGCACAGAGTACCACCGTACTTTTCAGAGTCGAAGGGGATTACCGTTAATAGCAGGCATCGTTTCAGTCTCAAAGAAGACAGACCCACATTTAAATTCAAATGGTCACACAATAAAGTTCAGTAACACCATTCCCACACAGGATTCCCTAACTGAGCTCATCTCAACCCTCATACTGTATAAACATTATGAAGGACACCTTGAAGGAACCCAGCGAGACCTATGTTTTTTCTGATTTGGGAATATCTTATACAAGAAATAGATATGTGTAAAGCCTTAACAAAAGAGAACATAAAAGGAAGTAATACGGAAAAGTCTTGGCGATGCTTATGAGTTATTAGAGGGATAGCTTGGCAGTTAAAGCAGGGGTAATTGCCAAGTCTTACGAGCCCTTTGAAGGACCTGTTCACTGCCAGCATAAGTTGTCAAATTGTTGAGACAATTGCCTCTAATTTAGCAAAAAAGTTGGAAACACCAAGGGAGGGCAATTTGAGCGAATCAAGCAGAACACTCTCTCCGCACCTCCCGTACCCCGTGCCCTTAAGCGACCAATCTACAGCTAGGGTAACAACAGTAAACTTATCAAACAGAGCTGTTTCACCACTTCAGAGGAGCATCCACTCAGGCATAAAACCGTTTCTCCAAAGTTCGGGATAGTTTTCGCCAGAAGTCCGATTAGAAGGGATAGCGCGATATCAGTGATACTGGGGGTTAGGTATGAAATGAATCGAAAAACACCTATTTTTGTCGTATTTCAATACCGTTAAAATAGAAAACATGTGTCGGGAATAGTTGAAGGAAAAATTACAAAAATGGAAATTGTCAAAAACATCAAACAGTCACAGATTGACGCACAAATGCGTTTAATTTCAAAAAATATATTTATCATTCTGTTCCCAGAAGCGCAATTTCATTATGCCATAAATTTATTCAAGGGAATCGACCTTCCATACAGAAAAGGATCAAAGACCTTTGCTCATGTTTATGTTAATCTTTTCGAATGAATCCGAATCATAACAATTCCGAACAGCGAACTTTGGAAAAACAGATGCTAGGAATTCTCGACATCAAAAAGCTATTCAAATTCGTCCCCAGCATGAATAATCGTTCCAAATATTTTTCACAAAAGAACATGAGTTTGAAGGGATCATTGCTGGCGTCGCTCAATTTTTGTACTGGACGCCCTCCACCCTTCTCCACTGTCAACGTCCATTCAGAGTCATGATGGTGGTTTCGATTTGTATATGGCCTTCACAATGAATTGCAATTGCCAGCCGATGTATGACCTAGTGCTTTTATCCTCCTAGACGAGTCTGGAACCAATTGACAGATCCCACAGGGGTGAAAGGCTTGATTGGGGCAGGTTTACCACCCCTCCCAGATGGAATTGGACACAGAAAAAACATTCATTTCACTTACCACTGATCTTTTTATTGTTGCCACCTACTATTTATATACTACAGCTTGTTTACTGTTTAGATACCTTAACAGTAACTCTTCATTTCTACATTGAGAACACCAGCGCTTAACTACCGCTCGCATGAATTAATAAAATAGTTTTTTTGCTACTGGGTACAACTTTCAGGGAGATCCCTTAGTGGAAGTGAAAACTCACAGGAGACATCAAAAATATGGCAATAATAAAATAGATAATAAATGACATGCCATTAAACTCATGAGTTATGCAGTACTACTTTTCCAAGAAGCAGTTCCAACAAAGAGGACCGGTTTTGGTCATACCTACGTCTTTTACTTTTAATAACCATTCCAATAACCATTTGTCTAATCGCCTACGAAAGCAGTCTCGACGAGAAGTAGCACGAGAATTTTCTTACACTACACTTGACGGAAAGCAGTCACAGAAACCATATAATTCAGCTGTCACATTCCTACGTACTCGATTGGAATTCAACAGAAAATGCTAATTCCTGAGTATGAGGTCTGCAGAGCCTTTCAGTAAAGGGGGTGGTGGCCAAAAAAGCTTTTCTTGTTTGGTTCGTGAGACCGGTACTCACCTAGAGTCCATACTAGGCTTCTGTCCTCGAAGATGAACCCATCGCTGATAACCTTCATTGAAAGGGCGAACAATGAAATTAATGCTCGACAGTTTCCGCAAGTTTCTACGCAGATGAGACCCAAATAATCATTTTTACAACTACGAACTGAAGATTTTTGAGGACCTTAGGGAAGAACTAACCTAAGAGATGCTGAGTAGGTATCCCTTCGGAAGTTTCAGCAACGAAGACCAAAGATGACTAAGAAGAAAAAGGGATTTCGCTTTCCCACG